AAAGCCCAGGAAGAGCTCCCTGCCAGATCTTGTTTTCAAGGTCATGCGAACGGAGCCCATTTGTTAGAGCCCAGGCAAGTCACCCAAGCTTTATCAGTCAGCTGGCTTATCCTTTGCAGGACTGGGCCGAGGGCGAGGAGGAGGAGGAGGAGGAACAGGAGATGGGAATGCGTACTCGGGCTGTGGGGAATGACACCCTTGCACCAATCCTTATGTCCTTTTTATGTATTGCACATGAGAACTGAGAGTTGGCAAGGATTCGACATCCAAGGGTTGTACCATATTGCCATGAAGTGGCGAGGGACTCGCCAAGCTCCCAAAAAGCGGCCCATGTATTCAGATCTTAGAGCCGCAGTGAGGACCTCGCAGCGGAATGTGCCTTCTGTGGAGAAGATGCCGCAGATGGAGAAGTTGCCGAGGAGATTTCTGCATAGCATGCGCCCTGATCAGTGTTCCACTTGAACTTGTGTGGGTATGTGTCAAAATAGGGGGGCCCAACAGCTTGCATTGTTTCCTCGGGTTTCCTTCTTGAATGCCCAAACAAGGGGCACCCTCAAAAGAATCACACACGCGCACACACACACACACACAAACGTGTGTGTGAACGAATGAGGCTGGAGAAAGATGGCGGAGTCAGTTCAGGAAAGGGACAGCTGGGGTGAGTAAAGATCTGGGTCCATGCGAAAACCTCCCAGGGCTAAAGTCTTCCCCTGCTGGAGCTGCATTCAACAGAGGGTGGTCAACATGTGTGTGTGTGTGTGTGGGTGTGGGACCTCAATCTCTTGCTGGCGGCCTGTCAAGGCATTCGACACACATATCCATCCTCACATATCAACGTTGTCATCCAGATGTCGCTTAGCCGCTTGGATCCTTCTTGCATCCAGGACGGACAGATGTATTGCAGCCGGTGCCAGCCCCCAAGACTGTCAACAGACTTATGCAAAGACTGAGCCAGCAGCCCATCCATGCTTTGGGCATGTGTGTGTGTGTGTGTGTTTCTTGTGTGCCAATTGTAGTGTGAAGATATTACACATGATGTGCCATATGATCCCTATCAAAGACATGATTCCTGAAAGAATCGGTCATATCTGACGTGATCCGCGCTGGGAATCATGGAAGCATCAGCGCAGCATAACTGCTGTCAATGTGGCTTCAGCGGCTGGGGGCCTTCCGGGCTGATTGTGAGGTTGGGAGGAGTGGGCAGCACCTGAACCTGCGCCGGCTCCGTCGCCAGCGCCGGAGCAGACCAAGGTGCTTCCCGCAAGGAAAAAGGGCAGGGGGTGACAACTTTTGGGGGACGTTTGCACGGCGAAACAGCTAGTGGGTGCGAAAAGAGGTCCAGCAGCCACACAATTTTGTATGGCGACCTGATGGGTGAGGACTTGTCCACTGGGTTGTGAGTAATGTTGACCCCGTATTAGTATGTACCCCCCCCCGCCTTGAAGGTCGGGAAGGTTTTGGGGGGGAATATTTTTTGCCACCCCCCCTAAATAATCTGGAGTTGAGTTTCCATTTGTTTAGTATTGGTGGAGCTCCCTTTTGAGATCTGGAATTGAGTTTCCATTTGATTTAGTATTGCTGGGGCTTCCTTTTGAGATCTGGAATTGAGTATCCATTTGATTTAGTATTGCTGGGGCTTCCTTTTGAGATCTGGAATTGAGTTTCCATTTGATTTAGTATTGCTGGGGCTTCCTTTTGAGATCTGGAATTGAGTTTCCATTTGATTTGGTATTGCTGGGGCTTCCTTTTGAGATCTGGAATTGAGTTTCCATTTGATTTAGTATTGCTGGGGCTTCCTTTTGGGATCTGGAATTGAGTTTCCATTTGATTTAGTATTGCTGGGGCTTCCTTTTGAGATCTGGAATTGAGTTTCCATGTGATTTAGTATTGCTGGGGCTTCCTTTTGAGATCTGGAATTGAGTTTCCATTTGATTTAGTGTTGCTGGGGCTTCCTTTTGAGATCTGGAATTGAGTTTCCATTTGATTTAGTGTTGCTGGGGCTTCCTTTTGAGATCTGGAATTGAGTTTCCATTTGATTTAGTATTGCTGGAGCTTCCTTTGGGGGGTGGGGCCGATGGACCGCACTAATAGGGGGGGATTATTAATTGAGGATGTTAGGGGCCAGTGTGGGGTGCTCTTCGAAACCTTCTAAACTTGATTTGTTTAGTAAAGAATTTAATAAGAAATCGACCATCTCAGAACACTTTTTGTTTTGTGGTTTGAGCAGGCCCAACAGTATCCACCAAGCTTCAAGATGAGAGTAGGAGGTGGAGATGAGAGCCCTAAGCAAGGCAGCAGCATGAAGAGAAAGGTACCAGAAGAAAGCATGAGCCCATTTGAGACAAAGCACCTTTTCAGCACACCATTCAGAGAAAGCATGGCAAGCAGCATGAGTCGATTCAACATCAGCAGCATCAGCTAGCACCAAAAAACAGTTTACATTGTAATGAGCTCAAGAAGCAGTGGAGAAAATGAGATAGCAGCAGCCATCTGGGGGAGGGACCGGTCTAATTGGGGGGGGTTGTTTTGCATCATTTTTTATTTGGGGGGTATTTTCTGAGATATGAATTGTTTAGTATTGGGGGGGGGTCAGCCGGACCGGACTAATAGGGGGGGATTATTAATACAGGGTCAACATTACTGCCGTCGAAAGGAAATAAACTGTGAATTCAACTGCGTACTCCGAAGCGCTAAAAGTGATTTCGCATCATCAACTGAAAGAGGAATGGGGTCCATTGCTGTGTAAAGAGTTGACGAAGTTTCCTGTCAACCCTGTATCTTAGTTGTACCTTCAACGCCCATCACGTGGCGCACGCCGTTTGCTGCAAACCACGAAGCAAGTGTTCGAGCAAACACAAACTAGACATTGGTACGCACCATGGGCAACTGCATCAAAGACACGTGCGCGTCCATCTTGACTTGCCATGTTGGGCCATGACGCTTCCATTTCCACTCGCCATCTTGGGCCATGACGGAATCAGGTCCCTTCTCTTCCCAAACGTTCCATGTTGTTTGGCAGCTGTTCAGTTTCAGTTGCCCTGCTCAAGATGGACCGAGAAAGCTGCATTTGTTAACGGAATGGAAGTGCACATGCTCCCTTCTGTTTGGGAGTTGCTTCACACTGGTCTCTGCACTTGCATGATTGGTCAGATTCCATGTTCTAGGCGGAAAGTGAAACCAGTGTGCATCTCGCAAGGCCACGGTGCGACGGTGGGGCAACACCGACAAGGCCCCTGACCCGGCAGCAGGTCGCATGATGTTGGCGTCACGGTTGAATGCTGGGTATTATGCTCTCTTTTCTTGTTCAAGACGCCCCCGGTTTTGCTATTTGTTTGCGTCGTCTGCTTCTGCTGATGGTGCATCGGCATCAAAGCAATACAGTATTTGGGCCTGACCTTCCAACAGGACAAGCCGTTGTGGAGTAAAGGAGATGGTGTTTATTGCTGCTCTTGCCAGAGCTGCCCGATCACAGGCGTAGCATGGCTAAAGATAGACATTCCCAATGCTGGTTTCCATGCCATTTATGTTTACGGTGGTTCACCTATCAGTGGCACCCTTCCGGATCTCCACGAGATTGAGAAGAGCTGGGTGCAAGCAATGAGCATGCGACGGCTTTGGAGCCATTGGAGGGATCACTTGTTTCAAGCCCAAGAAGGCAAGATGAGCTGTTCCGATCAGACACGGAACATTTTTGAGTTCGCGTGCGCTGAAGTTCCTTTTTTTGCTTTGACTCAGTCAGGTTATAGAGTTGGGCCAACTGATCTGACGGCGCTGTGACTTGATAGGGCGTTGGTATGTATGATATTTGCACCATGTTCGGAGAATCGCATGTCTACTGGGGTGTCTCTGGGCAGTTTCGTGTCAGTCCTTCAAGGACGGTAACGATTGCGAAGGGTCTCTAAGGTAAGCATGACCACATGTACACAACGCTCTCGCAGATTCCTTTTTTTTTCACCTGACCCAGCTCACTGGCGGCTCAGGCTGACGCTTACCTTGTGACACACTCCGATGCCCATGGCAAAGCTTCTTGATCCCAGGCCAAAGCCGCGGCAAGCAAGGGCCCAAGCGGATGCCCAAAATGAGGAATGATGACATATGTTTTTGCATTCACTGCCATTTCGGGGGGATTGACACGAATGAGGCCTTTTGCGAACGATTCAGAACCGGTGGACAAGGAGGGTTGATTTTGCAAGCAATGATCAGCAGCGTGAGTATAGTTATTAGTTTAGTTGTCCAGTGAACCTCGTTGAATTCTTGATTGTTTGCCTTGAAATCCCCTATTATTGCTTAACTCCCTAGCAAATTGTTGATGCCATCTATTAACTCGAGGCTCAAGTTGTTTTACTATATGTGAACTCTATAGCAGCTCGGCGTTTCCTTCCACACGATTCTCCAACGCTCCCAAGATGAGCCTTGCCGAGTGCAACCAGCCATGGTCACAGCGAGGAGCACACTTGAAATACCTGAACATTGCTCCGCGGGTGTCCTTGATGGCCCCTGACTCATAGTTTCTCATGTTCACCAGTAGGCACCAGGAGACTGCCATGGCTTACATTTGGTCTTGGTTTACTTTGTTTTAAGCCACCCTGATTTGTTTTTCATCAACTGTTCGCTTTTTGATCCGATGCCCGATCAGCCAGCTCAACCACGATGCTCAGGCAACCAAGCTACTCGCACTGAACATCGCCGAGAGGCGCGTCGAGTAAGTATGGCAACGCGGTCATGTGAACCGAAACGCCTGGAGGATTATATCTATTTGCTCGGTTGTTGCCTCAGAAAACACATGTTGATTGATGGCATAGAGAAGTAGCATGTTTGCTGTTTGCCCAGCACTTCTGCAGATGTTCTCTTTGTTTCTGGAAGTTTCACAGACGAGTTGCGGCATGTTTCTCTTGTTCACTTGTGGGCGAAACACATCCTTGCGAGGAAGCGACGCAAATATGCTAGTCTCCTCAACCCTGTATCCTGCAGCATCATGATGTTTCAAATTTTCATTGGCCCCATGGGTAAGCCAGGCCAACACCCTTGCTGGGTCACTTGTTGTCTTTCTCATGGCTAGGTATGCATTCACTTGGTGGGGGTGCTACACTATATCGGAGACAGCCTTTGCAGGAGTACTCATCTAGCCACAAACTGCATGTTGTGCAGCCAACAACCGAGTCTTATTGTCACACGACTGGATGGTTTCTGAATCAACAAGTATAGAGTTGCGAGATGCCTTCCTTCAGAAGGCAGCAGCCCACATCTTGGGTATAAGATTATTTAGTAAGTTTAGTGGAGTCTTGGCAAGCATGTAGCTTGGCAAATTGAGAGACCAGCAATGTGTTCATTGGGGCAAGCATTCACTGAATCCAGGCAAACGTGTTCATTCGCTTTCAGTCACAGATCTGTAGTCTGAGAAAGACATGTGTGTGTGTGTGTGTGTGTGCGTGTGTGCGTGTGCATTCCTCAGCTTACGGCTCCCGCTCTCATAGGTCCTGCCCTGCCTCTTGGGAACATTTGGGTGTCCTGAAACTGGGTTCCTCATGGTTCCCCCCAAACAAGCAGGTAGTTTTCAATGTCCCAAATGTGGTTTACCAGCATTCCCTATCCGCCGGGTGGCGTTTCAATTCACAACCCGGGACGTTCCCAGTTGGACACCACAAAAGTCGCCATGGCGGCGTACGTGTCCGTCACCCAAGAGCCCTGCCTCATGGACATGTGCATTTCTGGTTTGGATGGTGAACCCTTGGCCTTGCGCGCGCCTGATGACTGGTACGGAGCCTTTGGCGGGTCTTGCTTGCTGGGAACGCAGGTTTGTTTCAAAACAGGGAAGACTTCAAGCACCTGGATGCCGGTTGCTTGTTTTTAGTTGGGCATATAGGTTCCGTGGGGCTGTGTCAACACAGGTTACCACTTGAGATGGTTTGCAGCCAGAAGGAAATCAACCACCTAGATGCTGTCCCAATTTTGAGCACAAATATGGGAAGGACCCGCTTCAATTGAATCAGAATAGCATCCTTGTACGGGGATGGTTACAGTATTTGTCCCACGTTCCCTACTGAAAGCGAGCCATGCAAGGTTTGTCTAGATATCAGTTTATGGAGCTGTTAGCGGTAGGGTGCAGTCAATGCGCTCCCTTGCTATGGGAGGGGAACATGGAAATTGTTCCGATTTGCCCTAGCGTGTGGTTTACTGGCAATATTCAAGGATTCAGCGATAGGACACCCAAATGGATCCATTGACTTGAAAGCGAGGAACGGATCTGCTTCGAGCCGCGCGGCGCTTATTGCCCTCCAAGCCAGGGGCTCGCCTCTCGCTACTTGTGGATGGGACCTGCCTCTGCCTCACGCAGACGCTGCGAGAGCAGATTATGAAGGACTCGGTGGTGTCCTATGTCTACCTTCCCGCCAACCTGTGGCAGGCCCGATTGGAGTTTTATTGGTAGAGCTCAGAGACGTGTGTTCAACAAGCCCCCCACGTTTAGAAGAGCTTCAAATGGACTAGGGTCTTGTATTCGGCAAGGCTTGGAAAGCCTTGAATGCCATGATATGGGGAGAGGATGCAGAGGTGGCCTTGCAGGGTGTGACCAGCGTGCTTTACGGTCACACGGACAAGGGGATTCTACCCTTTGTGGCTCTGCCGGCGTGTCTTCATGAGTGGACCTTCGGCAAGACATTTAACCAGAGACTGGGCTACCAGATTTTCCCCAAAGGCCTGTTGCACCTGACCTTTGGGGAAGACTTCAACCACCCGCTCACAGAGTTGCCTGGATCCCTTTTGAGCTTGACGTTCGGGTACAGCTTTGATCAGGGCTTGGAGGACGTGGTGTTGCCGGAGACTCTACAGTGCTTGGTATTCGGATTTAGCTTCAATCAAAGCTTGGTGGGTGTAAATCTGCCAAAAGGCCTGCGTTCACTGACATTTGGTGGTTGCTTTGACCAAAGCCTCGATCACGTGAAGTTGCCGAGCACCCTTGACACGTTGGTCTTCGAATTGTTCAACCGAAGCCTGGATCACGTGCCTCAATTGTTCAAGGCGAATGGGGTTCCCTTGCGGATTCCAGGAGTTTGCGTGCCATTCAATCATACCCGGAATGTCCAATTTCAATTCACTGTTGAATAACATGCAACTCTTGAACATGATTGGACACAAATTCCTATGTAAAGGATGTTCCATATCACCTGTTTCCTTTTGTCCTCCAATATTCAGTAAGGCCCGAAGCAAAGTTTAATACACGGGTTCCAATGTGAAGCAAAGGACGATCATGTAGCATCCGAAAGCAACCGATTTCTCACAACCCATCACGCAAAATTTTGTTCTGTGTTTGGCTTCGCCAAGGTTGACCTCCCCAACCTCCAAACCCTATCCCTGGGCGGCTTCCAGCAGCGCCTTCCGAGCTTTCCCGGCCTGCTGGATCTCACACTTCCCAGCACCTACGTTCGGTTCTCAGCGACCAGTGAAAATGACTTCGTTCAAGGGATCAGTTGCTTTTTGGGATGTGCTGATGTGGTGTTCCAGTTGTTTTCAACAATTGAACAGCCCAATATTTCGTGGTCAATAGATTGGGATTGCACAAGTAGAAACACGGCAGATTTAAGCTGGGCCGTGCAAATCCAAGATGTTAACTAAGGGCTAACAAGAAACCAAGGTGCAAACAGGTGTCCTGAAAGCGGGGGATCGGTTTTGGTGGTTGAAATGTGTTCGTGTCTATGGAATGGAGAATACTCTCCAAAACATGGTTGGTGAGCATAAAAGTCCCCCATGTGTTTCTAATATCCACAAAAACAAATTCCACATAATCTTACCATATCTTACCCACATTGTGCCCTTTTGATGGCACCATTTGGGTCTACAGCACAGTTTCCTCGAGTTCGTCTTTCCTGTGAGACTCGGCTTCTTGGACAGAAAGCGACCCGAAGTGAGGCCCAAAGCCTGCGTCATACACAGCTCCCGCGCCGGAGCCTTGCCTTCCGCGCGAGTCCGGCTCGCCGGATGTGCACCTACCACTGCCTGGAAGGAGCAGCTCGAAAGCGGAGTCGCCTTGGGAACCAAAAGGGAAATCCTGCGAAAGATTCGTGGCTTCCCGTTGTTCTCTTTCGCAAATCCCCCTCCCCTTAAAGCTTTGGGGCACCCATGGAAAAGACATGGGTCAAAAGAGAGGTGGATGGGAATTTCATTGGCTGGCTTTCGGCAGGGCTTCTTTTTGACAGAAGAGAGCCGAACGAAAGGGAGGCTTCTGCGGTAGCAGTTTGAGCCTTTGGTTCGCTGGTAAAACAACATCCGGCGAATTGGAGAGGGGGTCCATGCTTTTCACCTGCCAAAACCGTGTCTGAAGCAGGCTGTGGTCACTCTTGGGTGGGCCGCGCGTTGTCAAGGGAACAACAAAGCCTCACGTACCAACAGAAGCCCTTACAGCCATCTGTTTCGACTTCGCGTTCTCCCACCAGTGTGTGGCATCCGAGGTAGTTCTTCCCAGCAGCCTTCAGTCACTTGTCCTCGACGGGCTTTGTTATAGCAACCTGCGCTTTCAGGTTTCAGAGGAGCTCCGGACGTTGGCCCTGGGAGACGACTTCAACGAACTGGAAGGATTGAGGCTTCCGCGCAAGCTTTGGAGCTTGAGGTTGGGACACAGCTTCGATCAGAGCTTGGGAGAACTGCCCGCGAAGCTCCAGTGCTTGAACTTGGGGAATTCTTTCACCCACAGCTTGGACGGGCTGTGTTTGCCCTGCCTTCAGACCCTGATCCTGGGGGATCGCTTCAACCGCCCGCTGACAAACATTGCGCTCCCTGGGCTCCTGCACTTGACCTTTGGCGAGCTTTTTGACCAGCCCTTGCAGGCGGGAGGCTTTTGTCGCCTTTTTCTGGCTTGCTCAGGGGAGCTGGTGGTTGGTCGGACAAAAAGCAGCCCCAAGAAAAGCAAACATCGCCACCCGAGGCATCTGCGTTTCCACGTCTTCAGAGCCTTACCTTTGGCCGCTTCAATCAGCCCCTTCAGCTGCCGCACAGCTTACAGAGCCTTGCATTTGAAGCATTCGACAGGCAGCTGCCACCTCTCCCCGCCAGCTTGACAGCCTTGACCCTTGGCGACAGCTTTGATCGGAGCCTGCAGGGGGCTTTCGAGGTGCCGGGATGCAGCCTTCTCAGTTTGAGCATGGGGTCAAGGTTCAACCAGAGCTTAGAGGATGTGGTGTTGCCGGAGACCCTGCAGCACCTAGTCTTTGGAGACAATTTCGACCAAAGCTTGGAGCTTGTGCGCCTTCCGAAGAACCTGCGTTCGGTGACCTTTGGTCGTTTCTTCAACCAAAGCCTGGATCGCGTGGCTTTCCCTGAACGCCTTCAGAGCCTGACCCTCGCCAGAACCTTCACTCGCAGCTTGGAGCAGATGTTTTGTACAGGCTGGGGTCTTCAAACAAATCCGTAACGTCGGTTTACCAGATGCATTACATGGTCTTTCTTGTAGTGTCCCAGATGGATTATGTGGTTCCCCCTGTAGTAGTGTCCCACAATACAAGATGCAGATTTGTTAGGGATCTCCATGTTGAGCAAGCCAGACAGGCCTACAATGGCTTCAAGTGGGCGAGACAGCCATTGGCTGCGCATTGCATCTGTCCTTGCTCAGCCAGAGCGATTCAAACGCGGCAACACGCGCTCGCATGGCCAGTTTGCTCCAATTGGGTTCGAAGGAGTTCAGAATCCTGATTAGAATTCCCGCTATTCGAGTGACTTAGCTCACACAAGCCCCAAGCAAAGTAATCTGGAAGGTCCAGACGACAGATTCGCCTAAGGTTCGGGGGGGATGTGTCGGGTTGCCAGCAGAAAACGTGCACATTCAGGGGTTTAAACCAGCCTCTGATTAAATGGTTTGCACTAGCAGTGCACATTGCTCCATCGCCTTGTGGTTTCCCTATGAAATTTCATGGACCGCCTCGGCAGATATGAACTTCCCAAAATGATGTCCACGTGCCAGGTTGGCAGTGCCTTCTTCCAGAGCCTCGACGGGGCCCCGCAGTGGGAGAAGGCACCAGACCGCCCAGAAGCAGGCGCATGGATGGCTCGAGCGCGTGACATGCACACAAGGCGACACCGAGGACTACCATGCTCCCACAGTGAGCGCACCGGATATGGACTGTGGCTCGCATGCTTGGACCTTGACCTTACTCGAAGTCCGCCAAAGGCAGTTGACAAACACCACCGCTTCGAACAGTCCAGAGATTTGGTTCCTTGCGTTTCGGCGCCGTCGAGCTCCGCAGTCTACATGAGTGGCACGGATTCGTCTTCTCTTGATTCATGGTTGACCTGCCACACTTATTGCATCAACTGTACCACCAATCAAGGAATCCTTGAGTTGTGTGTTGGCCCCCGTTCTGAATTGAAGCACAAAGCGAGCTAGTATTGTTTCCCAAAAACTTGCCTGTCTTGTTTCACAGCCCGAACAAATTGAGGGAACGGCTGCATTTGTCCTTAGAGTCCACTTTCAATGTTTGCCTTGCGAAGAGAGAAGTGTGCTCTGAGAACAAAACCGTCATATGTGTCTTGATGTTCACTCCTGCAATCTGGCTACCGATGGGTGGGCAAGGGCAACCCACGGATAGTTCTTTAGGTTCAGATCACCCACCCGACGACCGCGCCCCCGCCTTCTGGATCCAGGTGGCAAGGAGCTGGTGGCGCTTCGGCCCAAAGAGGCCCGAAAGATGCCGAGAGAAACGCAAGTCCTTTGCATTTGCAAGATAAAAAGAGCCAACAATTGGAGAGCCCCTCTTGGACGCCGTTTTGGTTAGGCGAAGTGCCTTGAAGCTGTTATTGGCTGGTATTCACTCCATATCATCAGAGTCAGTTTGGGGGTTGGGGGCCCAAGTTGCATTTGCGAGATGAGTGTTGCTTGACCATTTGCAAAATGCCCCTGCGCTGTTCCGCCAGGCTGCAGTTGACTTTGGTTGGAAAGGGGCTTCGGCAGCTAGGTGGCTGGCTGCCAGGAAGGGCCAAACGTTAAAGTTGGGTCAACACAAACAAAAGTGCCAACAGCATACAGCGATGCATGGAGGTCAAGAACGGTCCTAACTCAATGATTGCCGGATGGGTCAGCAAAGAGCTGGCATGTTTTACCGGAGTTGTGGCAGAAAGAAAGATGCTCAGCACTTGTTGGTGAAAGACTTAAGCGGTTGGAACTAAGACGTGCGTGTTGGTTCCTCATCTTGCGAAGTAGTTTGTTTCTTCTGATATGTCACGACTATGCACTACACCTTTTCCGTTGCACGTCTCTTCAGTCTCTAAGTTGTGCTGCAATGCGTTGATATCACCCAGACAGCATCTGCAGTTTCAAAGCCTCGCATGCAACTTCGGAAGCCTGCTTGGGATCATTTATAAGGCAGGCTGGCAGATCCCTTGTTGACAGAACCATATTGATTGGCGAAGTGCGGGAGTTTAGGCGGGAGGAGAAAATCGCAATCGTGCGGAGTATCAGGTTTGAGCATTGTCCTGTTGACTGGATGTGCACTTCCGGAAAAGACCCCTGCTTCAAACCAACAGGTCTCCATCCTTTTGGCGCCATGGCCGCGCAGGAGAGAGGATCAGAGGAGCCTCTCCAAGCGAAGAGCGCGGCCTCCAGTTGAGAGGACAGTCATACGTGTATAGGTCGATGCATCTGTTCCGAAGCAAAAACGGTCCAAGACTGTGCAGCATGAGCGCCCACCAATTTTATTGGGATCCCTCTGTTTAGGGAAACAACGGGCTTGGTGACTCAACCGGTACATAAGTACATAACCCTGGCCAGCCTCACCTGCCCTCAGTTCATGAAATAATTCAGGCGGATATACGAACCGGGTTCAAGCTGGTAATGGGCGTGCTTTTCATAGAGGGAACCTCGATATAAGGTGTTTATACAGTTGATACCATTTTGACACTCAAACGGTGTGTTTCATCTACTGCAAATTTCATCATTAAGAATTCACCCCAGTGCATTAGGCCGGCGTGCCGTGCTTACCATGCCGAAGCTGGCGGAGAAGGTGCAGCACGAGCCGCAGGAGCCAAGGCCCGGAAATTTCGGAAGGCATCGATGGAATGGCACTCCAGTTCTAGGAAAAGCTCCTTTTTGGGGGACCCACAAAGAGTGGGTTCCAATGTGAATTTCCGGAATAATTGTAAACGCTGCGCGTTGCCCGCCTCGGCCCAGCCGAGCGCGCAGCGTCTGTGGTTCGATTGCAAGCAGCAGAGTTGGTCAAGTGGCGATTCAGGAATGGACAGGTTCTAGCGTCATTGGACCAATTGATGTTGTGGGCCGAAGTTGCGCAGTAATCCCCGAGGGAAGGGCAAGTGAGTTATGGATCGTGAACGCTGACACACATCCTTGCTCGTAGCTGGCTGCTACTGATTGTTGGCTTATAAGCCCTTGCGACACCTTTTCAAGGTCACCTTCAACACAAAGAAGTAATAGCGCCATTGACTTGTTGCATGGCTCAAGAACGGGGCTACAAGAAAATTCCGTCACAGTTGTGTGCGCGGCTGCACCTGCTTTGCTTTTGCCCCCAAACGTCGATAAGTGGCAACCACTACCTTGCTTTTAAGTCATCGGAAAGGGCTTCCACAGCTCGATTATAGGGAGCTAGGGGCTCCCTAAAATCAGGGCCCCAAATGAGCCCTCCACATCAAGCCTCGCAACATGTTGCGACTTCTGAACGGTAAGCAGAGCTGGAGAGAGAGAAAAAGGGAGTGCTTCCAAAATCGGTGAGCCATGTGCGGCAAGTTGCGGCCACACATGCTTGCCGCGATTGCGCTCACGTCCACCAAAGCCTTTCCAAGGATGCTAATTACTGCAATGGACACAATATCCTTCCGATATCACGCTCCTCCATCTCTCTCCTCCATCCTCATCACTATCTCATTTGGCTCGGAGGGATGCCATGGACCCAAAGGAACTTTGCTTTGTGTCCCGCGAAGCGAAACCGTACTGAACGAGCGGAGCGGGAAGAGATTCCAGAGCCTGTTGAATTCCAAGCGTTATAGATGGAGCTGTGTAAAAGAGAAGCGACCAGAGTCTTATGATTGTTTAATTCCTTTCCCTTTCGTTTACCCGCTCCATCTCTATCCATTCCTTTTCCTTCTCCATCTCTATCCATTCCGCGCCATCTCCACTCGATTATTTGGCGAGGAATAGAGAATGAAGGAAGGAACACAGCGAATGATGTCTCTTTTCCCTTTACCTCTCCATTTTGGCCGTATACAAAAAAGGCCAAGGGAGAGGAATGGCCTTAATGGGGCACGGATTGCCTACACGCCCCTTCCCTCGCAACCTGTTGTAGCACTCATCTAGGAATCCAAGCAAACGCTGTAGCTAGCGTGCGGAAAAAACTTACTCGCAAGTTTGTGGTCGGGGTTTGGGCTCAGTTCTTGGTGCATGCGCGCAGTTTGGGGCGCTTCTCGTTTGCCTTCGCCCGAAACACTGTCTTGCCATGGTTTTGCCCACCCGATCCCGTACCCCCGTATTTCCGCACCACAACAACACAGCCAACTTACCAAAAAGCGCAGCCAAGTTTACACACAACACAACCGATTTTGGAAAAACACAACCGATTTTGCAAAAACAACCATATTTTTTGGCATACTCGTACCCGTACCGTGCCAGCACTGTACCGTACCCGTACCGTACCCGTACCCGGACCGTACCCGCACCGTACCCGTACCGTACCCGTATTGGGCTCGGCAACCTGAGACATAGCATGGAAAGCGGAGGCTTCCAGCTCCAAACGAGGGGTTCCTGCCCACAATTGCTGTCAATGTTTGCACCGCCCGAAGCTGGTTTGCAATGTGCAAGAATCTCTTTGGTTGCCAGACCTGTGACCACACTTGGGTTAGGAATGGTTATGGACCCCACAAGAATTTTAGACAACTGCAAAGGTTCTTGAGAAAATGGTTGTGACTTACATGTTCTTTGGACAATGTCAAATTTTGAGTCGACCCCTATGGGTTTCGTATGTGGATTCACAGGTCTGGTTTTGCTCGGCGCCAGGTGCCGCAGGCTGCTGGAAGAGATGAAGCCCGCACTGGAGGAGATCTCTCCGAGTCCGTGGAATCCGAGAACTCTGAGTGGACCCCCTTCTTTGTTTGGGCGAGGGGGCGCCTTGGTTTGGTTTTACAAGGCCAAAAGGAAACCAGCCAGTTTGGGGGCTCCCCTATGAGACAAAGATCATGGATTCAACAACTCTGGATATCTATCCATTTGGCATGGTTTCATGACCCGTCGTGAGAAGGGGTTGCCCAGGGGTCCATTCGCCCATGGTCTGATTGAGAATCCTTACTCTCGAGTCGACTCTCGGTTGTTCACGGTTTGAATAGCAGATTTGTGTTGTTTGTTTCTTGCTGTTGATTGGCCCGCAATGACAACAGCGATATCGCATGAACAGTAGGACAGAACCAACTGTGAAAACAGAGCGGCAAAAGAGCAAGCAAGTGATGCCTTCAGTAAGCAGTACAAACCCTAATTGCATTCACGCGGCGGTGTTAATTTTTGCGATGTTGTTTGCTGGCACAGTTTACTGACAGCTTTCAAATCACTATACTCGGGGATCGAGCTGGGAAATAATAGTACTCAGTTCAGATCAACTCCAAGGCTTAAAGGGTTAAAGCATGCCTAGGTTGGTCCATGTCAAGGGCACTGATTGATTTGTTTGTCGGGTTCCAGTGTTCACGTGACAGACGTGACAGGTAAATAGATGGCACCTTCTGCAAGTGTCTATTGAGAGGATATGTTCATTTTGACCGGGCAGGGCAATCCTTAGCCTAGCTGGTGTTCGAGCTTTGTTGCGGTGTACTTCAGGAGTCTTGGACTTGTGACTCAGACATTGAGATTCCAAAACGGTCAATGTGGTCGGTCCAATTTACCATCCCGGAGGCAAAGCGCCGGGTGGGGAAGGAAGGTCACCAGCAATGCCCCTCTTTGGGAATTTTCAACCCAAAGGTTGGATGCGAAGACGAGCCCCATGCCAGGAGAGTGTGCTGGACTACCTCAGCTCTTTGATCGGCGAGGCCGATGCAGAGGAGTTGGAGGAGCTGCGGGAGACCATCCTGGAGATTCTTCAGGCGCTTGCATGTTAGGAGGGTAAATGGAGCTGAGGGATGATCTTTTCCTGAGTGGAAAGTTCGCCCTTTTGTTTGTTAGTGGTGGAGCTATCGATTTGAAACCAAAGGGGCACCTTGCAACTTGTTAACTTCTCTTTTTCTCTCATTCACTCTTCAGTTCGCGCTTGAAAGTTGGATTTTCGAGCTGCACCCAAGAACTGCACTTCGCATATTACTTCCCTACTTAACATTTGCAATTCGAAACCTAGCGCTGCGCCTGCCACGAAATCTGCGAAAGTGCCGCGCCTGTCACGAAATCTGTCCCGAACACGAAAGCGGCTCTGTAGCGCTCACTTCGGCTAATTCGGGCTGACTACGGAGCCCTTAAAACGGAATCCAGACAAGCTGCAAGGGCTCTTTTTGAGCGACCAGCCTTACCCACAGATTGGGATTTTGACCGTGACGCAGATGTTTTATGATATTTCATTGCAGGGTATGCATGGTGTCTTTCTTGCTTTGGCTCAAACTCAATAATATCCGGGGGCCAGACATTGCCCACTAAAGATTCCGTGTTTCCTTTTGTCTTGTAGGCCAGGTTCTCTTTTGGGCCAGCATCACCGATGCCAGGGTCATGGAGTTGCAGCGGACACGGCCGAATCCTTCTTGAAGCAGCTGCGGATCTAACCGCCATGGTCTTTGTACATAGCATCCGTGTCCTGCATAAATACAGTGCGAGGCACAAACATGTCAAATCAAATGAGATATGATTCCCTGAGACTCAGAATAATTTAAGGGCTGCCGCCCAGTGCCGCCGACCCCTCCACTGGGAAGCGACAGTCGCACTTGAGGGACCTAGACATTGCGCAAGCATACGGGCTGCGTTGCGTGCAGTCGGAGCTGTGGCACCTGTCTCCATATCAGTTCGTCATGCAGTGGGAGATGGTGGCGACCCGCGTGCCCCACACGTGGGACGAATGGGAGTCGCTGCCAGAGCAGACATGGGACGTCAAGCTGACCGATGCCGGAGAAACGAAGTTGAGAAACAGCAGAGGGAAGGTGGTGCACTTGAAGCCAGGGGCAGAGTACGCCTGTCAATTTGTCTCGCGGAAAAACTGCGTGTATTTGCCAGACACCGCAGCAGCGAGCTGGTACTATCACCGACGGGAGCGTCCGCTATGTCCGCGCTTCGACGTTGCGCCGCTGCCGCGACATGGCGCGGCCGTGGACTCTGCATAAAAAGTGGGGCTCGCCCGAAGTGGTGCACGCAAGCGCGCTTCGAATTGCGAACAGCTCTTGGGACGAGTCCCTTCGTGCCTGGCTGCTACGCTTGAGTTGCTCGGAAACGCGACAGCACGTGGGCAACTTCTTGGCCGTGCATCGAGTGCGGCCTAGCGACGAAGCAGCGGCGAACAGCGATGATGAGAACGCAGACACTGTTCTGAAACTGAATGAAGCGTCACTTCGGAAAGCGCTAGAGCCCCCGGCGCCAGAGGACCCGCCGCCTGCGAAGAAGCAGGGAGAAGCGCAGGAGGATCTGACGCAAGCAGCGTTGAGCCAAGCTAACGCGATATGGGCAAGCGCACTGCCCGCAGCAGAGCAGGACGCCAACCCATACGAGCGCTGCAGCGCGAAAGCTCTACTGCAAGCCGCGCGGCGAAAGAAGCCGAAGCGCTGCTTTGCCTACACGGAAGAAGAAAGCGCAAGTCCTCCAGGAGTGCTGCAGCATGAAGGAGCCAATAAAGCCGAGGCAGTCAAAGCGTGGCTGCAAAATGTAGCGACACGACGTGGCGTGGACGGCAGGGCGTTCCTGAACCCAGAGCAGCTCAGCTTCGCGCAGAAGGTGGCGGAGCGCGTCGTAGCGGAAGAAAATTGCGGAGAAGGAGAACAGTTGCGCCAAGTGGACAAAACAGATCCGCTGCGCTGGGCACTGCATGGAGGCCCAGGCACCGGCAAGTCGCACACACTACGAGTAGTTCGAGAAGAGTTGTTCGACCAGGTCCTGGGGTGGCAGCAAGGGGTCCAGAATCAAGTGGTAGCTTTCCAGGCCGTGATGGCCGACCAACTAGCGGGGGAAACGATTCACCATGCAGTTGGCTTGAATAAGCACGGCGAGGAGACGGGCGTAAGCTTGCAGCTCCTCGCGCGCTTAGAGCTTCGTTGTCGAGAGCTGGTGCGGGATGCCTGCAAAGAAAAGTACGGCCCTAATAGCAATGCTGCGCGACCGTTCGGTGGCCTGAACGTAATTTTAGCGGGGGATATGTGGCAGCTAGAGCCTCCGCGTGGTACATTCCTGGGAGCCATTCCAGCGGAGATGCTGCGCAGACGTGGGCAGAAAACCAAGCTGCCGCACGCCGCGTACGGGCAGAGGCTTGTGTGGGGGGGACCGACGGAAGGCGTTCAGGGAGTCCAGGACGCTCCGAGTCCCGAGTTACTTTTGCCTCGTCGAGCTTAGATGGCCTCAATTGTCGTGAGGGCAACTTAACTTCCAGCGTGAAATTTCACGAGTTTTCACGGCCTTATCACGGAGTAATTTCGGCCTCGTGGCTTTTGGCACGAGTAATCACGGCCTTTCGGCCGAGTTTTCACGGCTCCGTGTTCGCCGGCGAGTGGAAGTGGCCGGGGCCACTTTAGCTTATAGAGCCAAAGTAACTCAGGACTCGGAGCCTCCTGGGTTACAGAATTGGTGCGCTGCGAGCGCACGCAAGATGCGTGGCTAAAGGAAGTCCAGGATCAGTTTCGTCACGGTCGCCTCACTGCGGTCACACATGCGTTCTTGCATGGCAAGGCGACGGCAGTGCCAGGCAGTTGGCACAATGGCCACGCGAGCTGTGGAAGTCGGACGTGTGAAGCTCTAGCAACAGACCAGGTGGCGCCGGAGCGCATCCTGGAAGAGGAGTGCAAGGTGTGCAAATCAGAGAGGCGCTCCAAAGCGCTCGTAGCAGCCACGCCGCAGGATCCGCGATTACAGAACGAACTGAAAGATGCCACGTGCATTTTTTGCGACGAACGCTGTCAAGTATCATGTTAACCGGACGCGCGCGCGAGAGTTTGCGGCCAAAGCTCGGCAGCAGATATATTATTCAATTGCTGAAGATCTAGCGTCAACAGCAGTGCTCGCAGAGAAGCCACACTTGGAGGAAGACAAAGTGAAGTGGCTGCAGCGTCATGACCGCGAAAGCGGCAACTTGTACGGGACGCTGCCGCTATGCATTGGCATGCCGGTATCAGCGACTGACCACTTGGACCGCGAACGACGCGTGCTTCGCGGCTGCGCGGGGACTGTGTGTGGCTGGACGCACGCGGGCGACAAAAGCGAGGTGACGCGTGCGGACGGGCGTGTGCGTCATTGGGCGGAAATGCCAGCGGCCGTGTACGTGAAGTTCCGCACGAGCAAGACATGGCGCGTCGATGGCATACAAGAAGACTGCGTCCTGCCCGTTGCGCCAGTTCGAAGTGCGTGGTTCCTCGATGGGAAACGCAAGAAACCACAGCTTCGCGTGTCTCGCCGACAGCTGCCCCTGAGCCCGGCGATTGCGTTGACAGCGCGCGGGGCGCAAGGGATAACAGCAGTCAACGGCGCAGTCGTGGACATAGCCATGAAGAAGGGAGACAACCCGTTGACATCGTACGTGGCCATGGCGCGGGTTGAAGGGAGACAGAAGCTGGGGATATTTCGCCCGTTCGACTTGGAGCCGTTTCAACGCGGAGACGATTTCGGCCGTAACCTGCTTTTGCGAGTTTGGAGGGGGGAGGTCATCGATTGGGAAGCCATTCGAAAAAAGTACCTCATCGAGAAAGAGTGCGTCGAATGCCTGCAGCGGAAGGGTCCTTGCGCGTACACTGCGGGGCGATGGAAACGAGAGGAGTGTGTAAAGAATGCACCGGGCGGCACGAAAGCGCAGGCCACCCGTGGCAATGCTGCGTTTGCTACTACTGGCAGCCTCGGGCAGGGTTCCTCGAGAAGTGGCGTAGAACGCGAAGCGAGCTGCAACGAGTCTGCTGCAATTCCATCGAAACCCATGCGCGCGCGCGTTGTGGAGAGTCGAAAACAGAGAGGCGGCGTGGCAAACACGGCGCAAGGCGCGCCAAGTGTGCAAGGACTGCAGCGCAAACGAACGAGGCCATTGGACATGCGTGCAGTGCAAGGAGAGATGTGCAGTTGCCGCGTTCTCGCGGTACAAGAGGGCGCGGAACGGGAAGCAACAGTGCAATGCCTGCCTCCGAGCACGTGACACAAAAGCGATCGCCAAGAAGAGCGCCGCGCGATTAGCGCGCAGACGCGCAGCCCAGAAGCGCCGGGCGCTGGCCGAGATCCGCGCATGCATCGCAGACATTATTCGCGTGTGGGAAAGGCGCAGCGCAGCGGTGCAGGCGTCGGAGCCACGCGACCGAGGAAAGGAGGCCGAAAAGAAGGCAGAGCGCTCGCAGCGAACGTACACTTGCCCGCACTGCAGCGCCGACGTGGAGTCAGGCCTCTGGAGCGGCACGGTTAACTCGCGACGGCATTGCGGGCGCCGCTTCCAAGTTCGCGAGGGACAGGTTGTGCGCCGAGAAGATGGCGCGAGGTACGAGCATGCGTGTCCGACCTGCGGAGCGACAGTGCAGTCGAGCACGAGGCAAGGCCGGATCCGGGTCCAGCACGAAGAGCCAAACAGCAAACGCTTTTGCCAGACCAAGGACTGGCGCACGAAATGACGTGTGCGGAAATCTGGCAGCGCAGCGCAAAAATCTTGCGCATCGGTCCTGCATGCCTGCTCGCAAGAACAGCTTCGCGTACAGCGTGCTAAGAGGCCGCGCTCGTTTTGCCACAGCGAGCACCAGGCAAAAAAATCGCCGGCAGCGAAAGGAAACGGAAAGAAAGATGGGAAGGAATCGTACATGCAGTAAAGCTATGTGTCCAGAGAGAGCGGCCAGCTACAAAAGCTTCGCTTCCCGCGCTGTTCCAGGCCGCACTCGTTTTGTCCACAGCGAGCAGCAACAAAAGGAGTGCGCCGGCAGCAGAAAGGAAGAAAAGAGGCCAAACGGGCGGGCCCGCACTCGTTTGCCCACAGTGAGCACCAACCAAAGGAGTGCGCCGGCAGCAGAAAGGAAGAAAAGGCCGGACGGGCGGGCCGTGACAGAGCTTCAGCGCTGAAAACTGTGCCCTGCAGGTGCTGGAGCGCTTTTCCAGGCCGCGCTCGTTTGCCCACAGCGAGCGCCAACCAAAGGAGTGCGCCGGGAGCAGATAGGAAGAAAAAAGGCCGAACGGGCGGGCCGTGACAGAGCTTCAGCGCTGAAAGCTGTGCCCAGCAGGCAGTTGAGCGCCCTCGGCCTCCTCAGCTCAGGGGCAGTTGGTGTAGTGGTATCACACCCGCTCGGCATGCGAGAGGGGCCGGGTTCAATCCCTGGCCTCTCCATGCCCATGTGCGCCTGCGTCTGTCACCGTTTGCCTATCCCTGGTCTTTCTGCCTCTGGGTTTGCTGTGCGTCTTGCCAAGGGCGGCTGCTCCGCCGCGGCCGGGTGCCGAACGTCACTTTTGAATCCTATATGGAAAGTAGAAAGCTATCGGTCCGCAGGGCGCAACCAGCAAGAACAGCTTCGCGTCCAGCGCGCTGGGAGGCCGCACTCGCTTCGCCGCAGCCAGCGCGAACCAAAGGAGTGCGCCGGCAGCCTGCTCCGCCGCGGCCGGGTGCCTAACGTCACGT